CGAATTAAAATTAAATTAATTCAACTTAATTCGCGAACCAAAGCGCAAAACCGAGAATCAATTTAATTGACTTTGATTGATCCCGGAATTAAATAAATTCGACGGATTAAGTCTCCAATTTTATTTAATTAGGTCAAATTAATGGAAATCTCAAAGAAATAATTAGATTATTCCAATTAACTTCACGAATCAAAACGCAAAACCGCGAATCGGTTTAAATGACCTTGATTGACCCGCGAATTAATCCACCAATTTTTCAATTGAAATTAATTAAAATTCCAATCAAAAAGCGCAAAACCGGGAATCAATTTAATTGACTTTGATTGATCCCGGAATTAAATAAATTCGACGGATTAAGTCTCCAATTTTATTTAATTAGGTCAAATTAATGGACATCTCAAAGAAATAATTAGATTATTCCAATTAACTTCACGAATCAAAACGCAAAACCGCGAATCGGTCTAAATGACCTTGATTGACGCCGCGAATTAATCCACCAATATATATTTTTTTTTTTTGTTTATTTAAGGCGTCGACTACTTGGTCATTAGCCTATTGCAAATACTGTATAAATCATAACATGTCGAATATATTTGCAGACCTTAGGTATTTTATTACATTTTTAAGATGTTGTGGCTGTTTGAGTATTTCTCCTACTTCATCTATTAAATGAAAAGATTGTCTGATGGGCTCCAGTACCGGACACTCCCTTAGGATTATTCAATTGGGCGAAATTAATTAAAATATCAAAGGAATTATTACAATAATTTAATTAAATCCGGGAAGCAAAGCGCTAAATCGAGAAACAATTCAATTGACTTTGATTGACCCCGCGAATTAAAATTAAATTAATTCAACTTAATTCGCGAACCAAAGCGCAAAACCGAGAATCAATTTAATTGACCTTGATTGACTCCGCAGATTCATCCACCAACTTCTTTTAATTGGATCAATTTAAATAAAATCTCAAGGAAATAATTAAATTAATTCAATTTAATTCGCGAATCAAAGCGCAAAACCGGGAATCAATTTAATTGACCTTGATTGATCCCGGAATTAAATAAATTCGACGGATTAAGTCTCCAATTTTATTTAATTAGGTCAAATTAATGGAAATCTCAAAGAAATAATTAGATTATTCCAATTAACTTCACGAATCAAAACGCAAAACCGCGAATCGGTTTAAATGATCTTGATTGACGCCGCCAATTAATCCACCAATATTATTCAATTGGGCGAAATTAATTAAAATATCAAAGGAATAATTACAATAATTTAATTAAATCCGTGAAGCAAAGCGCTAAATCGAGAATCAATTCAATTGACTTTGATTGACCCCGCGAATAAAAATTAAATTAATTCAACTTAATTCGCGAACCAAAGCGCAAAACCGAGAATCAATTTAATTGACCTTGATTGACTCCGCAGATTCATCCACCAATTTTTTTAATTGGATCAAATTAAATAAAATCTCAAAGAAATAATTAAATTAATTCAATTAAATACGCGAATCAAAGCGCAAAACCGGGAATCAATTTAATTGACTTTGATAGATCTCGGAATTAAATAAATTCGACGGATTAAGTCTCCAATTTTATTTAATTAGGTCAAATTAATGGAAATCTCAAAGAAATAATTAGATTATTCCAATTAACTTCACGAATCAAAACGCAAAACCGCGAATCGGTTTAAATGACCTTGATTGACGCCGCGAATTAATCCACCAATATTATTCAATTGGGCGAAATTAATTAAAATATCAAAGGAATAATTACAATAATTTAATTAAATCCATGAAGCAAAGCGCTAAATCGAGAATCAATTCAATTGACTTTGATTGACCCCGCGAATTAAAATTAAATTAATTCAACTTAATTCGCGAACCAAAGCTCAAAACCGAGAATCAATTTAATTGACCTTGATTGACTCCGCAGATTCATCCACCAATTTTTTTAATTGGATCAAATTAAATAAAATCTCAAAGAAATAATTAAATTAATTCAATTAAATACGCGAATCAAAGCGCAAAACCGGGAATCAATTTAATTGACTTTGATTGATCTCGGAATTAAATAAATTCGACGGATTAAGTCTCCAATTTTATTTAATTAGGTCAAATTAATGGAAATCTCAAAGAAATAATTAGATTATTCCAATTAACTTCACGAATCAAAACGCAAAACCGCGAATCGGTCTAAATGACTTTGATTGACCCCGCGAATTAAAATTAAATTAATTCAACTTAATTCGCGAACCAAAGCGCAAAACCGAGAATCAATTTAATTGACCTTGATTGACTCCGCAGATTCATCCACCAACTTCTTTTAATTGGATCAATTTAAATAAAATCTCAAGGAAATAATTAAATTAATTCAATTTAATTCGCGAATCAAAGCGCAAAACCGGGAATCAATTTAATTGACCTTGATTGACTCCGCAGATTCATCCACCAACTTCTTTTAATTGGATCAAATTAAATAAAATCTCAAGGAAATAATTAAATTAATTCAATTAAATACGCGAATCAAAGCGCAAAACCGGGAATCAATTTAATTGACTTTGATTGATCTCGGAATTAAATAAATTCGACGGATTAAGTCTCCAATTTTATTTAATTAGGTCAAATTAATGGAAATCTCAAAGAAATAATTAGATTATTCCAATTAACTTCACGAATCAAAACGCAAAACCGCGAATCGGTTTAAATGACCTTGATTGACGCCGCGAATTAATCCACCAATATTATTCAATTGGGCGAAATTAATTAAAATATCAAAGGAATAATTACAATAATTTAATTAAATCCGTGAAGCAAAGCGCTAAATCGAGAATCAATTCAATTGACTTTGATTGACCCCGCGAATTAAAATTAAATTAATTCAACTTAATTCGCGAACCAAAGCGCAAAACCGAGAATCAATTTAATTGACCTTGATTGACTCCGCAGATTCATCCACCAATTTTTTTAATTGGATCAAATTAAATAAAATCTCAAAGAAATAATTAAATTAATTCAATTTAATTCGCGAATCAAAGCGCAAAACCGGGAATCAATTTAATTGACTTTGATTGATCCCGGAATTAAATAAATTCGACGGATTAAGTCTCCAATTTTATTTAATTAGGTCAAATTAATGGAAATCTCAAAGACATAATTAGATTATTCCAATTAACTTCACGAATCAAAACGCAAAACCGCGAATCGGTTTAAATGATCTTGATTGACGCCGCGAATTAATCCACCAATATTATTCAATTGGGCGAAATTAATTAAAATATCAAAGGAATAATTACAATAATTTAATTAAATCCGTGAAGCAAAGCGCTAAATCGAGAATCAATTCAATTGACTTTGATTGACCCCGCGAATTAAGATTAAATTAATTCAACTTAATTCGCGAACCAAAGCGCAAAACCGAGAATCAATTTAATTGACCTTGATCGACTCCGCAGATTCATCCACCAATTTCCTTTAATTAATGGTTCAAATTAAATAAAATCTCAAGGAAATAATTAAATTAATTCAATTTAATTCGCGAATCAAAGCGCAAAACCGGGAATCAATTTAATTGACTTTGATCCCGGAATTAAATAAATTCGACGGATTAAGTCTCCAATTTTATTTAATTAGGTCAAATTAATGGAAATCTCAAAGAAATAATTAGATTATTCCAATTAACTTCACGAATCAAAACGCAAAACCGCGAATCGGTCTAAATGATCTTGATTGACGCCGCGAATTAATCCACCAATATTCAATTGGGCGAAATTAATTAAAATATCAAAGGAATAATTACAATAATTCAACTTAATTCGCGAACCAAAGCGCAAAACCGAGAATCAATTTAATTGACCTTGATTGACTCCGCAGATTCATCCACCAATTTTTTTAATTGGATCAAATTAAATAAAATCTCAAAGAAATAATTAAATTAATTCAATTTAATTCGCGAATCAAAGCGCAAAACCGGGAATCAATTTAATTGACTTTGATTGATCCCGGAATTAAATAAATTCGACGGATTAAGTCTCCAATTTTATTTAATTAGGCCAAATTAATGGAAATCTCAAAGAAATAATTAGATTATTCCAATTAACTTCACGAATCAAAACGCAAAACCGCGAATCGGTTTAAATGACCTTAATTGACGCCGCGAATTAATCCACCAATATTATTCAATTGGGCGAAATTAATTAAAATATCAAAGAAATAATTACAATAATTTAATTAAATCCGCGAATCAAAGCGCTAAACCGGGAATCAATTTAATTGACCTTGATTGACTCCGCTAAATAACTCAATTTTATTTCGTTGGCTTAACTAGATTAATTGACCTTGATTGGCACAGCGAATTAAATTATTCCGCGAGTCAAGGCGCTAAACGAATCAATTTCATCGACCTTAATTGAACCCGAGAATTAATCCAATCCAATTAATTATACCAATTAATTATACCAACTTAATTAAAATATCAAAAAAATTAATTTAATTAAGCGAATGAAATATAATAATTTTCCGGAAATGGATATCGATTTTGTGGTTGCCCCCCCCGGTGCTACGTTTTCTACATCACTATAGAGAAGCGGATCTCAGCATCTTTTCTCAACAACTATCGTGCGAGTCTTAAAGCCTCAGGGAAAGGATTATTAACCCTTTCTTTGCTAAGTAGTGTTGAACCCCTCTACTTTTAACATAATTTTCCAAAAATGGTCATCGACTTTTCATGGCCCCAGACCCTCGCAGCTGGTTGGTATTTCCTATCACTGAGACACCCCGTATGGATAAGAGGATCTCATATTTTTTCCTCAACAAGTATTATGCAAGTCCTGAAGCCTAAACGGTTCGTCAGCAAAGTACGTCTTTGAATCGCATTACCATCCTAACATTTGAATATAATGAACGAAATTTCCATTGTATTAGAATACTACACAATTATTGTAAGACATTTCGACTTCCTTGTTATCTACTATTATGTGTAAATTACTTATTAACCTATAAAATGTGGTTTAAGAATGACTCGCAGAGAAAAATGGAGAGCAGATATAATTCGGGAACAGTCCTTGCTCACCCGCCTCCCGGCGAAGAGGTGGTCATCACCGGTAAGTGAAGAGCTACGATTGCCTAGGCTAACGTTCCCGCAGGGATTTCCGGATGCTTTCCGGAGTCGCGCAACGTGCACGAGCTCGCCGAGAATCTCTACAATAAACTCGATATGGTAACCGAGGATGCTCGACGCGGGACGAACCCCAAACGTCTTGGAAAAATTCCCACCATTAACAAATTTGATGCCGGCTACTTCGGTTCGGACGCATCCGAAAACTGGAAGCGGCTGACTGTAATTTTTTAGGGGTGTGTCACGAGGAGGCCGAGCAAATGGATCCGAAACTGAGGATGATGCTCGAGAAGACGTTCGAGGCCATCGTCGACTCGGGCTACGCCGCTCGCGAGTTGGCGAACGCGAGGGTGGGGGTTTTCGTGCCGAACGCCGAGTCGGACGCCGAGGATGGGGCGCTTTTGATGCCCACGAGGCGGCCGAACTTTGCCATGAGCGGGTAAACGCGGAGAAAATTGTCGAAAGCGGTAACGGCGGGGCTTTCAGGTGCTGCAGTTCGATTCTCGCCCAACGCGTCAGTCATTATTTTCGATTTGTCGGGCCCTCGTATGCTTTGGACTCGGCTTGCTGTAGCACGCTGCATGCGTTGGAGCACGCGTATCGTGCCCTGAGGGAGGACAAGTGCGAGCATGCCATTGTTGCGGGTGGGCAACTGTGCCTAAATGACGTAACGACTCTTAATTTTAAGAGGTAGGGATTGGCCATGGTAAGGAGTGACTTAACGCCAGTTGCAGGATGGAAGTACTCAGCCCGGATGGTGCGTGCAAAGTTTTCGACGAAAGAGCTAACGGGTACGTACGCTCCGAGACCATTGCGGCGATCCACTTGCAGAAAACCCGAAATGCGCGGCGAGTTTATGCGCAGGTCTGTCCAGTCCCAGGGGGACAAATGTGTAACGGTCGCCCGTTTTAGGTGCTTCACGTTAAATCAAATTTCGACGGTTACAAGGAGACGGGAATCAGCGCTCCTTCGATGGAAGGGCAAATGGAGCTCTACGGGGATGTCTATGGAGATTGTATGATTAGTCCTTCTTCCGTTGACTTTCTGGAGGCACACGGCACGGGAACGCGGGTTGGAGACGTGCTGGAGGCTTTAGGTGTAGATGCAACGTTCTGCAAGGGGCGCAAGGAACCGTTGCCGGTTGGGTCTGTTAAGTCACTCGTTGGCCACGCGGAATCGGCTAGCTTCTTCTCTTCGCTTGTTAAAGTTCTCATCTCAATGGAAAACGAACAGATTTTGCCCAACATTCATTTCGCAACTCCGAGAAGAGGCATTGAAGGGCTGGAGAACGGGAGGATGGTAGTTCCAGTTGAGGTGATACCATGGCCTGACAACGGTTCCGGACTGGTGGCAATGAATAATATCGGCTTCGGAGGCACAAACGCGCATATAGTTCTTAGGCGATTCAACAAGCGTAAATCAGAGGGGGATAGCTTACCTCGCCTTGTGTGCGTGAGCGGTCGTACGAAGCAGACCGTTCGAGACGTTCTCCACGACATTGGGAGTCGTAAGCTTGACGCCGAGTTTTGCGGATTAGTCCAGCGCGCGCTTAGGTGAGTGCTTTAATCAGGAGGGCGGTTGTGCACGTCATTTTAGGGATGACCATCCCCACCGAGGGTTCATTATTCACTCGAAACTGGGCGAAGTCGAGCGCGCGACCGGGGTGCGCCGGAGACGCGCGTACTGCTTACTGTTTTCGGATGCATCCGATGAGGTCGTGGAGATCGGGCGGAAATTATGCGAAATTAAGTTATTTGCGAACGGCGTTAAGAGGTGAACGACCCGACGGTGGGGGTTTGGTAATCCGCTTTGCATTTCAGAACAGACACGTCGCTGGAAACGCTCGTTACAGGAGGTAACGCAAAAGACCTGGCGCCTGTAAGCGTAGCGGTTCAGCACTCGTTTGTTGATATGCTGAAAGCAGTCAATCTTCCAGTCAGTTTTTCAAATGGACACAAAATCAGTCTTCCCCAAGATCTCATAGTAATATCTCTGGGTTCAAAAGGAATGGCACAAAATGGGTTTTCCCAAGTAAACATCTCAGTCGATGACCCAGTTGTCTGCCTCTTGAAGTTATTGGGAGGGTAAGTACAGTACAGGGTGGCCAACTAAGAATGCGAGGTACTGTATCTGAGAATCTATCCATCGTAGAGGCTTGCGGTAAAAAAATTTATTACTATAACGGCCACGAGACCTGGAAAATATTTTTAAGTTTCTGAAATGACCGCTAGGGGGCGTAACTGCAATTTGGAATCTAAAAAAGTGATGTTTCTGTGAATTTCGCTATATTAATAAGAAAAAGTATTTTCCCGAGAAATTTTGGTGTAGTCGATTTTTGGTAAAAAAGGAAGGTTATACACTGCCTTTTTTTGAGCACCGAAAAAAAAATTGTCTCAGATCGACCCGGAAAAAAATTTTCTTATAGAATGTGGCCTGTAGAATCCATAATTTCAAACAGTTCCAAGATTGGGCTACTAGTTCAAAAGTTACAGCCCTTTGAATTTTTTTTCGAAATTGGTTTCTAGTCTATAACTTTTGATTGAGAAGTCTGATCGAAAAAGTACGAATTGTTTTGGATTCTACGCACCCAAATTAATAAGACAATTCAACTCATGTATAAAAAATCGCATAAGCCGCAGTGCAATTGTCACTTTGACAGCGGCAAAAGTTACCTGCAACTTTTCCAGCGACAAATGCACTAGTGGTTTTTTCACTTATTCATTTTCGGACCAATTATCGCATTATCCTTTCCCATATGACTAGTTTGACGTCTGTCAATAATTGATTAGTTTGGTGAATTTCTTGTTCGTTAAATTGTCCTGCCGAATTACACTCGAGGTTTGTATTTAAACCGAATAAATTTGGGTTGTGCCAATTCAAATCTGTTTCCTTTTAGCAATTGAACTCGAAAAACTGTCAACCTAAAAATGCTCCACCTGCGGTGTCGCATTTTTATTAGTTGACAGTTTTTCTCGTCTAATTACTAGGTAACAGATTTTCATTACCTAAACAACCCAAATTTACTCGGTAAAATACAAACCTCTTGTGCAATTATAAGTGAAAAAGTGTTTTCCCGAGAAATTTTGGTGTAGTCGATTTTTGGTAAAAAAGGAAGGTTATACACTGCCTTTTTTTGAGCCCCGAAAAAAAATTGTCTCAGATCGACCCGGAAAAAAAAATTTCTTATAGAATGTGGCCTGTAGAATCCATAATTTCAAACAGTTCCAAGATTGGGCTACTAGTTCAAAAGTTACAGCCCTTTGAATTTTTTTTCGAAATTGGTTTCTAGTCTTATCACTTTTGATTAAGAAGTCTGATCGAAAAAGTACGAATTGATTTGGATTCTACGCACCCAAATTAATAAGAAAAAGTGTTTTCCCGAGAAATTTTGGTGTTGTAGATTTTTGGTAAAAAAGGAAGGTTATACACTGCCTTTTTTTGAGCCCCGAAAAAAAAATTGTCTCGGATCGACCCGGAAAAAAAATTTCTTATAGAATGTGGCCTGGAGAATCCATAATTTCAAACAGTTCCAAGATTGGGCTACTAGTTCAAAAGTTACAGCCCTTTGAATTTTTTTTCGAAATTTGGGCTACTAGTTCAAAAGTTACAGCCCTTTGAATTTTCTTTTGAAATTGGTTTCTAGTCTATAACTTTTGATTGAGAAGGCTAATCGACAAAGGACGTATTGTTTTGGATTCTACACCCCAAAATTAATAAGAAAAAGAGTTTTCCCGAGAAATTATGGTGCAGTCGATTTTTGGTAAAAAAGGAAGGTTATACACTGCCCTTTTTTGAGCCCCGAAGAAAAAATTGTCTCAGATTGACCCGAAAAAAAAATTTTCTTATAGAATGTGGCCTGTAGAATCCATAATTTCAAACAGTTCCAAGATTGGGCTACTAGTTCAAAAGTTACAGCCCTTTGAATTTTCTTTCGAAATTGGTTTCTAGTCTATAACTTTTGATTGAGAAGTCTGATCGAAAAAGTACGAATTGTTTTGGATTCTACGCACCAAAATTAATAAGAAAAAGTGTTTTCCCGAGAAATTTTGGTGTAGTCGATTTTTGGTAAAAAAGGAAGGTTTACACTGCCTTTTTTTGAGCCCCGAAAAAAAATTGTCTCAGATCGACCCGGAAAAAAATTTCTTATAGAATGTGGCCTGTAGAATCCATAATTTCAAACAGTTCCAAGATTGGGCTACTAGTTCAAAAGTTACAGCCCTTTGAATTTTTTTTCGAAATTGGTTTCTAGTCTATAACTTTTGATTGAGAAGTCTGATCGAAAAAGTACGAATTGATTTGGATTCTACGCACCAAAATTAATAAGAAAAAGTGTTTTCCCGAGAAATTTTGGTGTAGTCGATTTTTGGTAAAAAAGAAAGGTTATACACTGCCTTTTTTTGAGCCCCGAAAAAAAAATTGTCTGATCGAAAAAGTACGAATTGATTTGGATTCTACGCACCCAAATGAGTAAAAAAAAAAAATTTTGAGGGTATACAATTTTCTTTGGCCTACATTTTAAGTTAGGAACAAGATATCGAGATGCGGTTTTATTATAATATTTGTAGCCGAAGAATAACTTTTCAATTAACCCGAATTTGTTAAAATCGGCTCAGTCGTTTCGAAGATACAGGGTGTTCTTTAGGGCAAACTTTGAATACACCCCCCCCCCCCCCCCATCATTTTTAGAGATACGGGAAAAATTGTCAAACAAAAAAGGTTCACATTATCGTCGTCTTCAAAGACCGGACATTTTTTGGTTAGGTTAATATTGCGGAATTCACAGAAAAATCACTTTTTTAGATTCCAGATTGAAGTTACGCCCCCTAGCGGCCATTTCAGAAACTTAAAAATATTTTCCAGCTTTTTCTCGTGGCCGTTTTAGTAAAAACTTTTTTTACCGTAAGCCTCTACGATAGACAGGTTCCCAGATACAGTACCTCGCATTCTTATTTGGCCACCCTGTACATCTCGACTAAACGACTATGCAATGTTTCTTAGTGCTTACCTGATGGGGTATTCTGTCCGTCCTGATCGTCTGTACCCACCCGTCACTTGGCCAGTCAGTAGAGGCACGCCGATGATTTCGCACTTAATCAAATGGAATCACGATACTGATTGGTTCACACTTTTGCAAAACCGGCGGGCGACCGGGCACGAAGTGACCATCGTCGTCAAAGATAAGGCGTGGTCTCGTTTATCCGACCACGTCATTGATGGTATGTGAAACTGAGAAGCTTTCATGTTCTAGTCTTATACCTAGGCTTGCTTGTGAACCCAGCAGCGGGTTACCTCTACACGATATGGGAGCAATTCTCCAAAATGGCGAACGTTCCATTTGCGAGCACTTGCGTCTTCTTTGAGAACGTTAAATTTCTCAATGATGCCCTCATGTTCCCTGCACCAAGCGAATTCCACCTCACAATTTCAAAAATAACCCACAAATTTGAGGTAACCACCACGTGAGGTCAATGCGTGCAATTATTCTCCCAATTTCAGCTACATGACTCGAGGGGTCTTCGTGTTACGGGAAGCATCCGCACGGTGACCAACGGGCCGGAAATATTTCTCCGCCATTTCGATGTAGAGAAAGAGCATTTGTCTTCCGACGACATTTATAAAGAGCTGCGTGTACGTGGCTATAACTACTCGTAAGTATTGCGCACAAAACCTTGTCCGCAGATAGCTCTTAACTTTTCAAGTCCATAACCGTAATTTCTGGTCATTTAAACACGGCAGAAATGTATTCGATCACTGCCGTGATAAAAAAAAACCGGCCACAGTGTCAGCGACAAATACCACGCATGCAAGCGCTCGATCAAAACAGGATAAAAAGTCTGTCAATGATCCAAAAACCAGTATTACACTGCAATCTCCAATCCAACAATAATAATAAATGAAAGGTGTCACCGGGGGGGGGGGGGGGGGGGGGGGTACGTTCTCAACAGTACAGAGCAAAGGGCTTCAAAATTCTTACTCCACAACTCTGAGGGGTGTAGTACCGCGATAGTACCATAGATATTTTTGCTGAGTAACTTTGAACCCCCTCCTCTTTCTAAATAATTTCCGGTCATAGCCTTGTTCATGGCTGGGGGGGATTCCATCCCCCCAGACCCCCCCGGTAGTACGTTCTCGACTGTACAGAGCAAAGGGCTTCAAAATTCTTCCTCCACAACTGTCATGTAAGTTTTGAAGCCTAAACGGTTTATCAAGGGAGTCTGGGGGGGTGTAGTACCGCGATAGTACCATAGATATTTTTGCTGAAAAATTTTGAACCTCTTTCAAATAATTTACGGCCATAGCCTTCTTCATGGCTGGGGGGTGTTCTATACCCCTCCAGTAAACGACATTTCCATTGCGGTTTCAAAAATACCTCCATAATTGTACCCCCCCCCCCCCCTGTACCGTGACACTTCCATTGCGATTTGCGAGCCCTTTTTGCTGAGTAATTTTGAACTCCTGACACTTTAAACATAATTTTGAGGAAATGGTCATCGACTTTTTCGTTACTGGAGGGGGGGGGGCAATTCTCCCCCAGTGATAGTTCCCTGCAGTATGGAGGAGAAGACCGCACAGCCCTTCCTCAACAACTGTAATGCGAATCCTGATGCCCAAACGGTTTGTAAAAGAAGGTGTTATCGGGTGGTCTGGGAGGTATTCCAGGTATTTCAGTACCGCGACAGTTCCATTGCTATTTCCGAACTCATTTTACCGAGTAGTTTTGATCCCCAGACACTTTTAACATCGACTTTTTCGTTGCTGGGTGTATTCCATGCCCCCCCCTCTCCCTACCGCCCGATTATACGTTCTCTTCAGTATAGACAAGAAGCCCTCATAATTCTCCCGCAGAAACTGTCATGGAAGTCCTGAAACCTAAACGGTTTGTGAAAGATTCTCTACAGAACGGAGAAGAGGGCCTCATACACTTTCCTCAACAACTATCGAGTGTCGAAGCCTAAACGGTTTGTGAATCTCTTATAATATAAACGCGCACCTGCGACAAAGGTTTGTTTACAAATTAAAAAATTTTAGCGATAAGCAACTCTTATCTACGAAAGGAAAAAACCATGAGATAAACTTATCACAAATTATGCAAAAATAAAAACAACACATAAATTCCTAACAATGAAATAAACAAAACAAGCAAATACCAAACAAAAATAAGACATCCTCCATATAACATAAACTTTACACACCAGTATACATGACATTGTCAACATCAAAATTGCGCAATTACAGTGGGTCTTTTTGTGAACTGGAAAAGTCAAGTCTCTCAGGCGAGGTTACTCAAATCAAATGGCAATCAAACTGGGTAACCCTAATTGATGGATTACTGCAAGTGAGACTTCTTCACGAAGACACCCGAGAGCTTCGCCTACCAGCTGTAATCGATTACCTCACAATAAACCCGCCAAAGTTTGATAATCGTCCTCCAGGCGCAAACCACCTGGTTCGCCTATCTCGCACAGCTGGCGTTGTTAGGTAAATGAACTCCACCACAACCACAAGTTACCGATATCGTTTCAGTTCCGAATCTGTCGAGATCCGTGGAGTTTCCACCGTGTCGCTTCCACGGCGAAACGCCCCGGACCCGGTCACGGAGATCTACACGTTTGTGCCTCTCCAAACGGAGCTTCCGACGGACGTGGCGGTGCGGGTTTTTGTTCAAATATTCCTGGAGAACGCCCGCACATTCGGTGTGAAGGTCGTCGAGGTTGGCGAAGGAAACCTGGCGCCCGCCTTCGAGCGGGCGCTCGACGACCACTTGTTCGTCACGAGCTCAATTTCTCAATCTGGAAACCTTGCGAGTCATAGCCGCTGCGGAATTGTCGTGTTAGACGAAGCGTCGACTAATCCCGTCATTCTACGCGATGCTTTGGATGCGCTCAGGAACGATGGCGTGGTCGTCACCAGGGAGAAGGCGAGTTTCCGCACGCGAAGTCTACCAGGAGTCGCCATCGTGTCGGTGATTAAAACTGGATCGGACACGCTGGTATTGTTGAAGAAACACGACCATCGGCCCACCCCAAAGGTTATCGGAGTAAATAATAAGTTGGAGTGGCTCACCGAAGTCCAGGAGGTGGTGAAAAACGGCGAAGAGGCGCTACTCCTAGCCCAAAACGAACCACTGAGCGGGATCTTGGGTTTGATCAACTGCTTAAGACGCGAGCCCGGTGGTGCTCAACTGAGGTGCGTCTTCATCATGGACCAAGGGACGCAATTGCGCTCTGGCTTCGATGACCAACTACAGTTAGGGCTCTCAATTAACGTACTCAAGAATGGCGTTTGGGGCACGTACCGTCATCTACTGTTCGAACAGGGAGGAACAGTAGTTCGGCAGCACATACTGGGCGAGCTCTCGAAAGACCGAACCTCTTTTCAATGGGTCGAGGGGCCGTTAACCGCCCAAGATCCCGTTGAGCCCGGTACAGTAGCGGTCCAGGTAAGTACTACTCAAAATCGTCCAGATTCACAGGACACGAGCCTTAGGTACACTGCGCGGCGGTTAACTTTACCCCCCGGGGCTCCTCAACAAGGGACAGGCTTTCTGATTTGGGTAACGAGTTTTCCGGAAGAGATCCGAAGTAAGTGACGCGAGCGCATCAACATTGATAGCGGCGATTTTAGAGGGCGGAGAGTAATGGGAATAGTGCCAAACGGTGCACTGTCTACTTTGGTATCAGCCGATTCTCTCTTACTATGGGAGTTACCAGACGCGTGGAGTTTTGAAGAGGGCGCGTCGGTGCCACTGGCCTACGCTATGGCTTTATACGGAGTTGTCCACGTGAGTATGAATTTCGCCTCACCGTTTACAGTTCAAAGGTTGGTCGGCGTTCAAAGTTCAAAGGTTGGTCGCCATATTTAATTTTTAAGGTCAATGACTCCAGTTTTGTGGTGCCATTTTTTAGCTCATCAAAGGTCAATGTGTCAATAACTCCTTTTTGTTTGAACTGAGCAAGGTTCGCCTTTGTATATCTATTTTCACCCTTAGCTAGCCAAGGCATCGCGCGGGGAGCGTATCTTAATCCATTCGGGTGCGAGTCAAATCGGACATGCCGCGATCCACCTGGCTCGCCATTACAAGTGCGACATCTTCACTACAGCTGACAGCAAGAGGGAGCGGCAACTAATCAAGGCAACCTTTCCGGAAATTCCAGGTATTAGCTCGACCCCTCGAAATTGCGCCTCAGGTTTGTTGCAGACAGCCACATCGGCGGCTCGCGAGACGGTTCATTTGAAACCGTGGTTTTAAGGCACACATTGGGGAGGGGGGTGGATATCATCATCGACGCGTTTCCCGATCACAACACTTCACCACGTTGCCTCACGCGCAAAGGGCGCCTCATTAAACTCGGGAAACGAGACTTTCCCGACGGTGGTGGACTCTTCCCCTGCCAAGGTCAAACGTTTGGCGCGTTTTCGAACTTTAACGGAATGAAGGCGGTGTTGCACACTCTCGTCAGTAACGCCTTAGTCAAGGGGATGATTAAACCCTACAGTCCACCAGATGAGAACCAAGCTGTGATTAAAATGGGAGAGAAACCAATAGCAGGGTTTCCGAGGTATGCACCTCCAATCGCCCTCCCGGTTGTTAACTCGCCTTGTAGGTTTTGGTGCGACTCTCAGATGACGTACGTCATCGTTGGAGGTTTAGGGGGTTTCGGTCTCGAGCTGGTCGACTGGTTGGCTTTGAAGGGAGGTCGCAAGTTCGTGCTGGTCTCGCGAACGGGCGCGGTGAAGGGATACGCGGCATTTCGCATCAAGCTGTGGAGGAGCTACGGGGCAGTCGTCCGCGTGGCAACGGATAAAGCAACCTGCCGAGAGGGCTGTGAGAGTCTGCTACGGAACGCGGCGACTCTCGGACCCATCGCCGGTATATTCAATTTGGCGTCCATAGTAACTGACCATTGCTTTGAAGACCAAACAGAGGGGCGTTTCCTGACGGCCTTCTCCGTGAAGGCTCGCATTACTCACAATCTGGACGTACTCAGTCGGGAATTGTGTCCCAGTTTACGGTAAGTATCGCTTTGTGGGCTTTCCCTTCATCGTTACTTTGCAGACACTTCGTGGTGTTCTCCTCGCTAGTATGCGGTAGAGGGAACATGGGTCAAGCTCCCTACGGAATGGCCAACTCGATCGCAGAACGGATCTGTGAGGCCAGAAAGAGGGACGGGTTGCCAGGTTTGGCCATACAGTGGGGGCCAATCGGCGAGGTACTCACAATATTAATCGAAATCGCCGTTTATGAAACATTTTAGGTAGGAACAGAGGTCGGAAAACAGGATAGAGGCGAGCAGGTTTTGGGGGCTTTACAACAGGGCGTCACGTCTTGTCTCAGTTGCCTGGACCAATTTTTAGTGCAGTCAGCGCCCATTGTTTCCAGCACGATCATCTCCACAAAGTGCAAGGGAATGGTTGAGCCTGTAAATATAGTCACCGCGATCAGAGATATCCTAGGTTGAGCACTCTTGTCATGCACACTTCAAGGAAATTTGCTCTTTTAGGTATAACCAGCTTGAAAACAATTAACGAACACGCAAATATGGCGGAATTGGGAATGGATTCAATTAGCCTTGTTCAAGTTAAGCAAGTATTGGAGAGAGAGATGGAACTATATTTAACAGCTCAAGAGGTTCGCGAATTCACTTTTGCTCAACTAAAAAGTTTGGTACCCGAAAATGGCACGCCAATTCAAAATTTGTGCTCCGAAGGTGAAAAATAAAGAGAGCAATGATTCGGCACGTTGAGTTAATTGTGTCAACATAGATACAACGACAAGAAAGGAGAGGAGGGTGACGGTCTAGAGGAGTAGTAGACGGCAATCAAACTCACCAAACTCTTCCAGAGCCAGGTCTCTCAGCTCCATCTGTTATGCAATCCTACTGAAATAGCTTAGAGCCCTAACAATAATTTTAGGCAGACGACCAGCGTAACTGTTATTGTTGGCCCACAGACCCCCCGGTGGCATACTCTGCATCAAAAGAATCTTTCTTTTCCCGAGTATATTCCATACCCCCCAGTGCCATATCCCGCAAATCCGCCTGTTCTGCGATCCTGCTGAAATACACAAACGCACTTCATTCATCCAGGAGACGCATCCCACCCCGATTTCTTACAATGAGAATCAAAATCCACCCAACCCAGAACATGTAATCTTAAAAAATTCCCCATCCAGAAAAGTACAAAAGTACAGCGAACCTACCCCAAAAATAAAATAGGTAATAAAGAGCTCTGATCTTCGAGCAGGTAATTGTATCTGAAAAAGAAAAGCAAGACCGTCGGACGTCCCCAGCCAACCAACCCGAAAATAAAAAGGGCTCGCTAATCTGGGCAAACTCCTTTGCAAGCCATGTGTCCCTGAACCGACCGTCCATATCTTGCAGTTAGAACATCCACGGGGAAACTTTTTGAAAGATAACAAATGGTCCAACATAATTTGGCGCTAACTTAGCCGAGAATTGTTCCGTTGCATCTGGCTGAGGGAAATTCCTTCGAAAGACCTTGTCACCCACATCTTAAGTAACAGAACGGCGTCTTAGGGTGGAATTCATAGATATTACTTAAGTTAGACTTACACTTTGCTAATTGCATAAATATGCATACTTAGTTTAGTTTAAGTGGAACTTATATTTACTGCTAGTATTCCTACTTAACTGTCCGTATTTGGTGCATTACTATAGCACTAATGTCATGCGTCACTTTAGCAAATATTTCTTTGAATACCAAAATGTTGCTAAGTACCCGTTAAGTATGAGTAAATTGTAACTTAAGTAATATCTATGAATCCATAGATCATATTGACGTTTAGTCCAAAAGTTCGGAATAAACCGACGGTACCACGATGCAGTTCCTATCAAACCTCGGACCTCAGAAACCTTAGTTGGTGTAGATAGATTAAGAATGGCGGAGGTCTTCACCTGATCGACTTGGAGTCCCTATTCATTGACGACGTACCCCAGGTATTTTAGGTCATTCCGACAAAATTGGCACTTCTCCCTATTCAGGATTAGAGTAAGAGCTGTCAACGGTCTAGAATCGTCGGCTAGAGGGATCTGCCAGTAAGTCGACCTTACGTTCAAACAAGTTAGAAATCCGGCATATCGTCGAGGATCTAAAGTGTTCGAAATGAACAGCAAAGGATAGGCGTCGCGCCTAGCAACTTTATTGAGCTGACGAAAGTCGACACAGAATCTTCATGGTCCATCCTTTCTTTTGGTCATTACAATCGGGCTACTCCAAGGACCAGTCGAGGGTTCGACATATTTGACACAATTCCCATGAAGAAATCCACCCCCCTAGTATTAAAGAATGGCCCAAGGTTGGGACAACTAACAAATCGATTATCTTAAACGTCTCCTTCAGTTTAATCTGAACTCGCAGAACCTCCACACGCGCACACGACTGACCAATTGCAACAGTAATATTTGAGAATTCGGACTTTAATAATGACAACCCTGCAATTCTTAAAAATTTCCAGCATGGGTAAAACCCTGTCACGCCACCTGAATCGAGTAACTCAATTTTTTTAACTAGATCGGAAGCGAGAACAGTCACGAAGTGTAACATCAAGATTACCACACTTAAAGCAGTGGTTTGCCGCAGACTCGAGACATCGGGCAATTCCAGCAATTAACCCCATTAGGGTTAGACCCAGTCCTCGAATTCAACGCACTCGCACAGGAACTGCGACGAGATGGCGCTTGATAATTATCGAACCGATATTTGATCAACTGTAATCTACCTCGGTACGATATCCAGTTGAATGTTAGCAGATACGTCCTCATATCGAAAGAATGTATTCATACAAGAGAAATGTTCTATAAACGGATCGTTGGGACCTAGGACCCTAGCAGGTAAAAAATGTTTACACAATAATGATGATAGCCCGGTTCAATTATGACACCTAGTAAATCTAATGCAGATCGAAAAGTAAAAATACAATCCCCTAAACGTTTTAGAAACGCTGGTTTAAGATGACCGTAAATTGCAAGAAAGGTGTGCGGATCCTCGCGCAATTGACAGTGATCCATGACGAAATGTGAGCCTTAAAGATAGATAGGGTGAATAAGTACAGAAATTACCTAGAATCTTCTGACTAGAACGAAAACGTTTAGATCCAAGCGTAATTGAAGTAAAATTTGTGCCTCGTAACGAAAGGTCGGGAATAAACATCAACAACACTGCGAGTGGCGCACCATGTACTGTGAACAGGGCTTTAGTTTTTCAATTAACTTTCCGGTACAATTCTAATATTTGCATACAAAGAACAATTTGCATTTTAGGTATGTCATTGCGCGGATGTTTTTTCTGGCGATATGTAATTTGCATACTATTCGGATTTCAAAAGTTACTTGGAATGGAATACAACACGGAAATTGACCTCGCTCATCCTCCTCTCGGCGAAGAGATTGTCATTACCGGTAAGTGTCTCGGTGCGATCACCCCGCCTGACCTTTAACCACCAAAAGGGATGGCGGGATGCTTTCCGGAATCGAGTAACGTGTACGAGTTTGCCGCTAATCTCTACAACAAGGTCGATATGGTTACCGCCGATGAACGACGCGGACGGCGAACGTGTGCGGACGTCCCCGAACGTCTTGGAAAAATTCCCATCATTAACCAATTTGACGCCGGCTACTTCGGTTTGGCCACACCAATAACGGGGAAGGAGCCTCTGAACGTAATTTTATAGGGGTGTGCCACGAAGAGGCCGATCAGATGGACCCGAAGCTTCGAATAATGTTTGAGAAAACCTACGAGGCGATCGCCGACTCCGGGTACGACGTTCGAGAGTTAGCCCACAAGAGGGTGGCGGTTTTGGTGGCCAACTCCGACTCGGATACTGAGGATAGGGCGCTCTTGTTCCCTTGGAGGCGGCCGAACTTTGCCGTGACAGGGTAAACGCGGGTAAATTGATCGAATGATCGCGGAGTTTTTTTTAGGTGCTGTCGTTCAATGTTTGCGCAACGAATCAGTTATCGTTTTCAGTTTGCGGGGCCCTCGTACAGTCTCGACACAGGGTGCAGTAGCGCGTTGCACGCTTTGGAACACGCGTATCGCGCCATGAGGGAGCAGAGGTGCGACCATGCGATTGTCGTCGGCGGACAGTTGTGCTTAAACGACATCACGACCCTTAGCTTCGTCAGGTAGGGAGGCACCGAGATTGTCACTGGCTCACCAGCGTTTTAGGCTCAAGATGGTCGGTGCGCGGGGTACCTGCAGGGTTTTCGATGAGAAAGCCGACGGATACGTGCGTTCGGAGGCGCTTGCGGCCATTCACGTGCAAAAGGCCAGAGATGCGCGACGAATTTACGCACAAGTTAGTCCATTCGCAGTGGCGACCTTTCCATTAAACCGCCCCTTCCAGGTGGTCCACGTCAAAACCAATTGCGACGGATATAAGGAGCAAGGACTCATCGCGCCTTCAACAGAAATGCAACGGGAACTGTTTGAAGATCTCTACAGTGATTGTAAGATTAATCCAGCTTCCATCGATTTTGTGGAGGCCCACGGTACGGGAACTCAGATTGGAGATGAACTGGAATCGTTAGCCGTCGAGGCAGTGTTTTGCAAGAACCAAAAGAAACCGCTGCTGATTGGTTCGGTTAAGTCAGCTGCTGGTCACACGGAACCGGCCAGTTTTTTAACCTCGCTTGTCAAAGTCCTTTTGGCAATGGAACGCGATCAGATTTCCCCAAATATTCACTTGGAAACTGCGAGGATTTGCATCGAAGCCCTGGCTAGAGGGAGGTTTAAAGTTCCTATTGAGGTGACGTCTTGGCCGGAAAACGGCACGGGACTGGTCGCGATTAATAGCTTCGGATTCGGAGGCTCAAACGCGCATATTCTCCTTAAACGGTTCGAAAAACGCAAGTCAGAGGGGGATAGTCTACCTCGCATAGTGTGCGTGAGCGGTCGCACGGAGCAGGCCGTTGGAGAGGTTCTCCACGATATTAGGAGTCGTAAGCTTGACGCTGAGTTTTGCGGATTAGTCCAGCGCGCGCTTAAGTGAGTGCTCTAATCTGGAGGGCGGTTGTGTAAGTGGTTTTAGGGACGCCCATCACCACCGGGGGTTTATTATTCACTCGCAACTGGGCGAAATCCAAAGCGCCATGGGTGTGCGCCAAAGACGCGAGTACTGCCTGATCTTTTCGGATGCGCCCGCTGAAATCGTGGAGATTGGGAAGAAGTTATACGAACTGAAAGCCTTTGGGGACGCCATACGAAGGTGAAACGACACGCTGGAGGGCGTTTCAAAAATATCGTCGTGTTTCAGGGTGGATGCATCGCTGGAAGAGCTTGTCGCAGGAGGGCGCGTGCCAGGTCCCAAATTGGCGCGTGTAAGCTTAACGATTCAGCTGTCATTCGTAGATTTGCTGAAGGAGGTTCATCTTCCGATCAAGGGACGTGCTGTTGCCTACGCAAACGGGGAGCTCACTTTAGAACAGGCCGTTTCAAATAGAAGCGGAGAAGCCCGTCTTAAAAATCCCCAAGACCTTATCGTGATCTCTTTCGGATCAACAGCAATGACTTTTGCTTCCCAAGTGAATATTTCCGTTGACCGCCCAGTTGTCGCCCTCTTGGAGTTATTGGGAGAGTATGTACGATACATGTCGCTTAAATAAGGACGCTGATGTTCTTAGTGCTTACCTGATGGGGTATACTGTACATCCCGACCGTCTGTACCCTCCTATGAGTTGGCCAGTCGGCAAAGGCACGCCGATGATTTCGCCCTTAATCAAATGGAATCACGACACCGATTGGTATACAGTTTTACAAACCCCGCGACCGTCCGAGCACAAAGTGAGCGTTCAGATTAAAGATACGGTCTGGTCTTGTTTGCCCGGCTACAAAATTGATGGTAAGTGGCATGAAAAGGGCGCTCATTTCCTAATCTCCTGTCCAGGGTTGCCTTCGTTCCCGATGACCGGCTACCTCTACATAATATGGGAGAGGTTCACGAAAATGAGGAACATTCCACTCGAGAACTCGTGCGTCTCCTTTCAAAATGTCAAGTTTCGTAATGCTGCCCATATTTCCAAAACCTTTGGTGACGTCTACGTCCAAATTTCGAAAATAACTCACAAATTTGAGGTGATAAAAATTTAAGGCCCAACGCGCTCATTCACACTCACCGTTACAGCTTTACGACTCGGGTACGCTTAGCGTTACGGGAAGCATCTCCACGGTGGAGAACTGGCGTGGAGGGGTTCCAGGTGATTTTCAATTGGGAAACGTAGACGATCGCTTGTATACACAGGACATTTATAAAAAGCTACGTTTACGTGGCTATAATTACTCGTAAGTATATTAGCAGTATATGAAACACAGGTTCTAGAAGATATAGTATAGAACTAGCAGCCTTGGCTGAAATCCCGCCCACTCAAAAATAAAGGCACAAATATTCGGTCACCTTTTCGCAAAGACTACCATGAGAGTGGTAGGGGTAATAGATGAGACTTTCTTTGCCGAAGGTGCTCTCTCAGCTGGGGGGTATTCCATACCCCCCATACCCCCCGGTCAGAAGTTCGTCCCTAAAAATGTTTAGTGTTAGCACTCACACGCTCATTTTCGAAACCAGACCATGATCCCATGCAAAACGGAATATTCCTCCAGGACTGTCCTTGACCAAAAAGTATCATGAGAGTGTGGAGGCTGAGCGATATTTTGGGAGAACGTAGTACCGGGGGGTCTGGGGGGTATGGAATACCCCCCAGTATACAACTATTCGATCACCTTTTCGCAAATACTACCATGAGAGTGCTAGGGGTAATAGATGAGCCTTTCTTTGCCGAAGGTGCTCTCTCAGCTGGGGGGTATTCCATACCCCCCATACCCCCCGGTCAGAAGTTCGTCCCTAAAAATGTTTAGTGTTAGCACTCACACGCGATCATTTTCGAAACCAGACCATGATCCCATGCAAAACGGAATATTCCTCCAGGACTGTCCTTGACCAAAAAGTATCATGAGAGTGTGGAAGGCTGAGCGATATTTTGGGAGAACGTAGTACCGGGGGGTCTGGGGGGTATGGAATACCCCCCAGTATACAACTATTCGATCACCTTTTCGCAAATACTACCATGAGAGTGCTAGGGGTAATAGATGAGCCTTTCTTTGCCGAAGGTGCTCTCTCAGCTGGGGGGTATTCCATACCCCCCATACCCCCCGGTCAGAAGTTCGTCCCTAAAAATGTTTAGTGTTAGCACTCACACGCTCATTTTCGAAACCAGACCATGATCCCATGCAAAACGGAATATTCCTCCAGGACTGTCCTTTACCAAAAAGTATCATGAGAGTGTGGAAGTCTGAGCGATATTTTGGGAGAACGTAGTACCGGGGGCTAAACGTTTTTAGGGCTCTCCCGAAATGTTGCAACACTTTATTTTTGTTTAACCCCTCAGGAGAATATGTGAAGAGATGTTTCAACTCGTAGAAAATATGTATTCGGACTACCAGGAGCGCATAATTCATGAGAAGGTCATTTTTTATGCTCACGAAACATTTTATATTGGCGTATACTTTCGCATTAGGAGAGTGTAGCGTGCTATGGAGTGAATCTGATCCAAATTCTCTCTGACCACCAGGAAAACATACTGTATAAGGAGGTTATATCATTCTATGCTCACGACAATCGTTCAAACACTTTATTTTCGCTATTTGTGTATGGAGAATATGTTGTGCGAAGCGGTGTTTCTGTTCGTAACTCACTGAATGAATGTTGCAAATTTTCTCAGACCACCAGGAGAATATCATCAATGAGGAAGTAGTTTTTTGAGCTCAAAAGAAATGCTCCATCGTCTTGTTTTCATTTAAACTTTTGTACCAGGAAAATATTAGTGACCGACACAGAGCATCGCTTACGAAAATATGAAAATGTTCTGTGTCTAATAGGGGAACATAATCTATAAAGAGGTCTTCATCTAAACTCCAGAGAAGCGTTCTAACGCTTAATGTTCGTTGCAACTTCAATATCAGGAGAATATGTTATGCGAGGGGTCAATTCTTAATTCACTGACCGATTAGCACGGAAGGAGACCTCCTCATTGATCATGCTCTCTTTGTTTTCGTAATAGATACTCCGTAAGTTAGAAACAGAAACACCACTTCTCACAACATATTCTCCTAATATAAGGTTTAGATGAAAATAAGGTATGGTATTAGAATGGTTTTCTAGTGCTTTCCAGAGTTCATGTTTTCCTGATGAAATTCTGCAACATTTTCCTAACTGACAGTGAGCGATTAGGAGCAGAAACACCTTCTCTCGCGACATTTTCCTGGTACAACCGTTTAAACAAAAAAAGTGCGTTGCCACTTTCTAGATTATGATTTCCTGGTGACCAGAAAAAGTTTCAAACATTTTCCTAATGAGTCAGTGCTGATCTATTAACAAAATGTTTGAAACTTTTTCTGGTCACCAGGATATCATAATCTAGTAGGACGTATTTTTCTAAGCTGAAGAGAACATTTTTAGCACATTATTACTGTTGTACCAGGAGAATATCGTGGGAGGTGTTTCTGCTCCTAATTCACACAGTAACTACTGCAAATTATCTCTGGGTAGCAAGAAAACATGAACTACGAGAAGGTTTTTTCACACATAATTCATATTTTTCAAGAGAAATACTCCAACATTTTGTATTCCTCCAATTTTGTATAAGGAGAATATAAATTAAAGTTATGTATCGAGAGAATGTTCATCCCTAAAAACGTTCAGTGTTAGCATTCACACGATAATTTTCGAAACAAGACCATGATCCTCTTAAATGGAATATTCATCAGGACTATCCGTTACCTAGTGCGAAAATCTGAGCGATGTTGCGAGAGAACGTAGTATCGAGTGGTCTGAGAGGTATGGAATACCCCCCAGCAAACAGAGGGGAAATTAATGAACCCCCAGTATACAAAGATCCGGTCACCTTTCGCAAAGATTGCCATGACAGTGCTAGGAGTAAAAAATGGAAAACTATCGAGGCCTCCGACCCCCACCGAGTATCTAAGCGATATCAACAAATCGAGTTCCAGTGTTTCTCTAACCCCTTCTATCACCTGCGAACCCAGTTGAACGAAGGAATAGGGATCTGAAGACACAGTTACCGTGTTACGGAAAAACAATCATCGGCACTGTGCGCGACAGTTTCCGGCAATCCATGAAAACAATATTGTATTCTGCAATTCATTTTATATCGTGCTCCACGTCCCATTTTTAATAAGAATAACAGATGCCACAACTATTTGTTTCACTTTATCTATCCTTGAGCCATTTCTATACAGGGTGTCTCAGAGCCAGTTACCCATTCGACTTAATCTGGCCCATACTGTATGTCCATTGAGAGACTAGTCGTTTTCAGTGGGGCGTTCTGTGGATTGGTAGAGTCTGACATCTTCGGCGGTGTAACCAAACTGAAATGGGGGTCCAACTGGGTGACCTTTGTCGACGGATTGTTGCAAGCGAAGCTTCTTCACGAAGACACGCGAGAGCTTCACTTGCCAACCGTAATCGACGATCTGACAGTCGACGCATCGAAGTTATCGGATTATCCGGCAGGTGCAGACCACGCGCTGGTTCACTGTCGCACTGCCGGTATTATCGGGTAAGTAAATTTCGGGTCCGCTTTAAAATGAGGGCTCTCCTAACAGCTCTCAGTGCGTCGACCTGCGTGGACTTTCCACAATGGCGGTTCCAAGGCGAAAGTGCCCCAAACCGGTTATCGAGACCTACACGTTCGTGCCTTTACAAGTTGAGCTACCGACGGAGGTGACCGTGCGCGTTTTTGTGCAAATATACCTCGAAAGCTCCCACACGCTTCATGTGAAAGTTGTTGAGGTCGGCGAGGGAGACCTGGCGCCCTTCTTCGAGCAGGCGCTCGACCATCACTCGCTCGTGACGAGCACGATTGCCAAATCGAGCAACCTGGAGAACCATAACCAGTGCGGCATTATTGTGGTGAGCGAAGCATCGACGAATCCCACCATACTTCGCAGCGCTTTGGATTCGCTTAGGCCCGGTGGCGTTGTCATCACCAGGGAGAAGCCGAGTTTCCGCACGTCTACTCTACCAGGTGTTACCATCGTATCAGTGGCGAAAACCGGATCGGAAACGCTAGTCTTGCTGAAAAGAACCGAACATATTTCTACGTCAAAACTTATCACAGTGACCAACAAACTGGACTGGCTCGCCGACGTTCAGGAGACCGTGAAAGATGGCGAAGAAGCGCTGCTCTTGGTTTACAGTGAACCGCTCTGCGGGATTTTGGGTTTGATCAAGTGTTTAAGGTGCGAACCCGGCGGTGCTCACCTGAGGTGCATTTTCATCATGGACCACGGGGTGCGATTTAACCTCGGTGATAAGTTCTTCGCCGAACAACTACAGCTCGGGCTCGCGATTAACGTGCTCAAGAACGGCGTTTGGGGCACGTATCGTCACCTTTTGCTCGAACAAGGAGGAAAGGTTGAGCGACAGCACATTTTCGGCGAGTTCTCCACTCCAGAAAACCGGTCCTCTTTCAAATGGGTCGAGGGGCCGTTAACCATCCACGATCAAGTTGAGCCTAATATGGTAATGGTCCAGGTAAGTACTGCCGAGAACCTTCGACGTTTTCAGGTAAAAAGTCTTAGGTACACTGCGCGGCGATTGACTTTGATACTCGCGGGACCCCCGCCTCCAGGGACAGGTTTCCTCAAAGCAACGCGTTGGGTTTCGAGTTTTCCGGGATAGTGCACGAAAGTGTTGATAATCGAGGTCGAAGAGTGATGGGGATGGCAGCCAACGGTGCACTTTCAACCTTGGTACTGGCAGACCGTCGGCTACTATGGGAGATCCCACAGGAATGGAGTTTTGAAGAAGCCGCTTCTGTGCCATTCACCTACGGAACCGCTTTATACGGAATTGTTCACGTAAGTTTAGCACAGTAACAGGCGGTGTCTCCATTTGAGCCCTAGTTAGCAAAAGTGACTTGTGGAGAAAGTATCCTAATCCATCCAGGTGAGAGCGAAATTGGTCACGCCGTCCTCCACGTGGCTCGCTATTACAAATGTGACATTTATACCACGGCAGACAGCTGGAGACAAAGACAATTAATCAGGGGGACCTTTCCGGAAATACCAGGTATTAACCCACAGCTCGAAGTTGTACCATATAGCCTTATTGTAGACAACCACATCGGTGGCTCAGGTGATGGCTCGTTTGAAGAAATAGTTTTAAAACACACGCAAGGAAGAGGGGTCGATATTGTGCTCAACTCGTGGTCAACCAATCGGGAAGCTTCCCTACGTTGCTTATCACGCAAAGGGCGTTTTATTGAAATCGGTAAATGCGAATCCGGGATTGAGATGTCATTCCTATCACATGGTCGGACAATTAGCACGCTGCCTGACCTATTCTCCGCCCGTTGTCCTAGCTTGGACGTGGTGAACGGTCTTCTTAAGGATGCCTTGGTTAAGGGACTAGTAATACCCTCTCGTGTAAAAACTTGCGCACCGGACGACCTGTACCGAAACGTGGCGACCGGAAAGCTAATCGTACAAATACGTCCAGCACCATTGCAAGCGTTTCCAAGGTACGAACACTCCACGATCTTTCAGGCACTAGCTCATCTCGTAGGTTTTGGTGCGATTCTCAGATGACGTACGTCGTCATTGGAGGTTTGGGAGGGGTCGGCCTAGAGTTAGTCGACTGGCTGGTTTTGAGAGGGGGTCAGAAGTTCGTCCTGGTTTCGCGTAGTGGAATCGTGAAGGGATACGCATCGCTTCGTGTGAAGCTGTGGAGAAGTTACGGGGTAGTCGTCCGCGTTTTGACCGACGACACGACCTGTCGAGAGGGCTGTTCGTCTCTCCTACGGAACGCGGCGACTCTCGGCCCCATCGCCGGAATATTCAACTTGGCGTCCGTAGTCACGGACCATTGCTTTGAAGACCAAACAGAGGAGGGATTCATAACGGCCTTCACTCCGAAAGCTTACATAACTCGTAACCTGGATCTTGTCAGTCGTGAATTGTGCCCCAGCTTACGGTAAAGTAGCTCTCGATAGATTTTCCATTCACAATCACCTCGTAGACACTTTGTGGTGTTTTCCACGATAGCGTGTGGAAGAGGCAACATCGGTCAGGAAGCGTACGGAATGGCTAACTCCATAGCTGAACGAATCTGTGAATCTAGAAGAAAGGATGGGTTACCAGGGTTGGCCATACAGTGGGGGCCAATCATCGAAGTACCCACGAGCTTAACTAACATTCTTCTTTAAAAGCCCTTTTAGGTGGGAACAGAGGTCGGAAACCAAAGTAGAGCCGAACTTCTCTTGGGAGTCGGACAGCAAAGCATGTCATCCTGCCTGAGTCGCCTGGATACATTCCTACTGCAGCCCGAGCCGGTTGTCGCGAGCACAGTCATTTCCAAAAAGCGCAAGGGCACGGAGGCGCCGACAACATTGGCCACAGCAATAAAACGGGCCCTAGGTTGGCTATTCCTGTGGTAATCATCTTCGACGAATTTCATTTTCTAGGTATAACGAGTCTAAAAACTGTCAGCGAAAATGCAACCTTATCAGAGCTAGGAATGGACTCGCTTAGCTTTGTGGAGGTCAAGCAAATACTGGAAAAGGAATTGGATCTGTTCTTAACAGCGCGTGAAGTCCGCGAATTCACTTTTCACAAACTAAAGGAATTGGTACCAGAAGCTAATCTACATCTTCCGAAGTGAAAGAGGAGCAATTTATGTAAATTTCAGGGAGTACTTCATGAATAAAGAGATAATGATACTTTTCGGTACCACATTTCATTCTTTCAGGACCCCCCCCCCCCAATTCATTCAAGTTTGTACCCCAGACCGACGGAGAACCAAGGCCTCAAACTGTTCTAGCCACCACCGTGCCAGTAACGCGCACTCTTCTTGGAGCAGATTTCATCAGAGACCAGAAACCCAATGGAGATTTAGCAACGAACCAGAACTATACACCTTCGCTCCTGAACCCGCCGCAATTTTCTTCGCAGATAGTTCCAAGATTGGGGTACTAGTTGAAAAGTTACAGCCCTTTGAATTTTTTTTCGAAATTGGTTTCTAGTCTATAACTTTGGATTGAGAAGTCTGATCGAAAAAGTACGAATTGATTTGGATTCTACGTACCCAAGTTAATAAGAAAAAGTGTTTTCCCGAGAAATTTTGGTGTAGTCGATTTTTGGTAAAAAAAGGAAGGTTGTACACTGCCTTTTTTTGAGCCCCGAAAAAAAAATTGTCTCAGATCGACCCGGAAAAACAATTTTCTTATAGAATGTGGCCTGTAGAATCCATAATTTCAAACAGTTCCAAGATTGGGCTACTAGTTCAAAAGTTACAGCCCTTTGAATTTTTTTTCGAAATTGGTTTCTAGTCTATAACTTTTTATTGAGAAGTCTGATCGAAAAAGTACGAATTGTTTTGGATTCTACGCACCAAAATTAATAAGAAAAAGTGTTTTCCGAGAAATTTTGGTGCAGTCGATTTTTGGTAAAAAAGGAAGGTTATACACTGCCTTTTTTGAGCCCCGAAAAAAAATTGTCTCAGATCGACCCGGAAAAAAATTTTCTTATAGAATGTGGCCTGTAGAATCCATAATTTCAAACAGTTCCAAGATTGGGCTACTAGTTCAAAAGTTACAGCCCTTTGAATTTTTTTTCGAAATTGGTTTCTAGTCTATAACTTTTGATTGAGAAGTCTGATCGAAAAAGTACGAATTGATTTGGATTCTACGCACCCAAATTAATAAGAAAAAGTGTTTTCCCGAGAAATTTTGGTGTAGTCGATTTTTGGTAAAAAAGGAAGGTTATACACTGCCTTTTTTTGAGCCCCGAAAAAAAATTGTCTCAGATCGACCCGGAAAAAAAATTTTCTTATAGAATGTGGCCTGTAGAATCCATAATTTCAAACAGTTCCAAGATTGGGCTACTAGTTCAAAAGTTACAGCCCTTTGAATTTTCTTTCGAAATTGGTTTCTAGTCTATAACTTTTGATTGAGAAGTCTGATCGAAAAAGTACGAATTGTTTTGGATTCTACGCACCAAAATTAATAAGAAAAAGTGTTTTCCCGAGAAATTTTGGTGTAGTCGATTTTTGGTAAAAAAGGAAGGTTATACACTGCCTTTTTTTGAGCCCCGAAAAAAAAATTGTCTCAGATCGACCGGGGAAAAAAATTTTCTTATAGGATGTGGCCTATAGAATCCATAACTTCAAACAGTTCAAGATTGGGCTACTAGTTCAAAAGTTACAGCCCTTTTGAATTTTTTTTCGAAATTGGTTTCTAGTCTATAACTTTTGATTGAGAAGTCTGATCGAAAAAGTACGAATTGTTTTGGATTCTACGCACCAAAATTAATCAGAAAAAGTGTTTTCCCGAGAAATTTTGGTGTAGTCGATTTTTGGTAAAAAAGGAAGGTTATACACTGCCTTTTTTTTAGCCCCGAAAAAAAAATTGTCTCAGATCGACCCGGAAAAAAATTTTCTTATAGAATGTGGCCTGTAGAATCCATAATTTCAAACAGTTCCAAGAATCGACCCGGAAAAAAATTTCTTATAGAATGTGGCCTGTAGAATCCATAATTTCAAACAGTTCCAAGATTGGGCTAATTTCAAACAGTTCCAAGATTGGGCTACTAGTTCAAAAGTTACAGCCCTTTGAATGTTCTTTAGAAATTGGTTTCTAGTCTATAACTTTTGGTTGAGAAGTCTGATCGAAAAAGTATGAATTGTTTTGGATTCTACGCACCAAAATTAATAAGAAAAAGTTTTTTCCCGAGAAATTTTGTTGTAGTCGATTTTTGGTAAAAAGGAAGCCTTTTTTTGAGGCCCGCAAAAAAAATTGTCTCAGATCGACCCGGAAAAAAAATTTTCTTATAGAATGTGGCCTGTAGAATCCATATTTCAAACAGTTCCAAGATTGAGCTACTAGTTCAAAAGTTACAGCCCTTTGAATTTTTTTCTAGTCTATAACTTTTGATTGAGAAGTCTGATCGAAAAAGTAAACCTTCACAACCATCAATACTCGTGGTAATCATTTTCGAGGAAAAGTCATCGAAGCTCCTTTTCCTCCAGGAAATTCCATGTGTTGAAGGAAATACTTAACACCGGGGTATTCCATATCCCTCCCCCTCCCCCCAGGTACCTTCTCTCAAAACTTTTAGAACCATCCATACTTGTGGTGGGAGGCGAGGAATAGCCATCGATTATCCTTCTGCGGAGTATACCATGTTTTAAACGGTGCACACTTCACCGGGGGGAGGGGTCTAGGGCAAAGGAGGAATACTCCCCAGTGAAAAAAGTTTCTATGGCTCTCCTTGAGACTGTATGATAATAACTGAGAACTCTAAATGTTTTGAGGGGAGAATGCATCGAAGCTCGTTTTACTTTCGAGAGTATATTCCATACCTTGCTAGCTCCAGGAGGTTGGGTTGGGGGAGGGTATTGGGGTAACTCCACAGTGTATACGAAGATTCTATAACGAAGGTGCGGCTGCCTTTTCTAAGAAAATTTCATAAGAGTTTTGTAGGATTAGCTCTTGAATATCCCCAGTGGGTACAAAAATTCGATTCCCTTTCCGAAAGACTACCGAGGGTGTTCCGCTAATTTTCAAGATATTCCATACCCCCCCCCCCCCTTCCTCAAGGGATGCATTTCAGTAAGATTTAGATAATTCTCCTTTCTCGAATATATTACTTATCGAACAGATCAGCCTGTTCTGCAATCCTGCTGAAATATTTTGGAGCCCTTAGAAAGAATTTCAGACAGAGATGCATGAGAACTTTCATCCCCCCCCCCCGGAGCCACCGGTACTACCTTCTTCCCTAAACATGCTTAGGGGTGTTTTATATGACATTTTTGGAAACGTAGATGCGGTTGTCCTTTTCTAAAAATTACCATAAAAGTTTTAAAGGCTATAAGCTCTTGTGTGGGAGAACGTAGCATACGTACAATACATCCAGTGTGTACGAAGATTTGGTGATCTTTTCCGAAAGACTACCGTATAGAAGTGCTAGTGATAATAGAGAAAGAATTATCCAGTTCTCTATACAGTGATATTTATTAAGAAGTAGACATAGGGATTTACATGTATTGTTTTTACCTATGTCTACTTTAAATTTTGTTCGTATGCGATGTATTCAACTGAAGAAGAAGTTAATATTGTCAATTGGACAATTATTTTCTGTGAAGCCAAAGCAACAATATTCAAATTAATTAATATGTATTATGACAACCAGATCGTTATTTTGGATGCAGCCCTTCAGGAGAGATTTTGTCATTAAAAGTAGAGTATGGCACAAGATCGTTGCAATACAAACTGAACAAGATAGGGCCTAGTATTGATCCCTGTGGTACACCCGACAGGCTAGTTGTGGCCATACCACGATGACCTTGGGGCAATTCCACTTGTTTGAGACTATTGCATAAGTACGATTTAAATAAATCTCTGCTCTAATGCCAATTTGAAATTGTGAATAAGCTTATTGTGATGATGAAGATTTTAATGATCTAATTGTAGAGACTATATCACTAGTAATGACTTAATGAGTGGCGCAGCAAACATTGAATGAGGTGACTGAAACGTTCATATTACAAGGTAAATTATTTGTGAGGTTATGAAAACGTGAAAAGTGCAGTAAAGAAAACATATCGATTACCTACCTCTGAACACTGCAAATTAAAAGTAAACTTCCATTCTTCACAATTTAGCTCAAAAATCGATTAGGGGCAACAAAAAAGTGTTGACAACGTTTTTTAATTACACCTAAATTACTGTTCTGGCCATTTTTAGTTGCGGTTGAACGAAAAACGCACTCAATATCCGGTCGATCTAAATTAGAAATAAATTATTTCCGTCGATTTCCCCATTTTACGGTTCGCTCGACGAAGACGAGAAATAGAATATCGTGTATATAATACTTTTAGGGCGCGCACTGATGTTTTTACAATACGAATACGGGGGCAGTAAATATTTATGGCGTTTTTCGAGCGCAAAATCCCCGAGCCGCAATAAACTAATAAAACTTTCCTTAGTCGACAATTTCAAGGGTATTTTCAACGCTTCTGATTTATTCTTTCGGGGACACCGTTACTTTTTACGTAAATATTTGAATTTCGTAATGACTATAATTTTCATCCCCTGGGCGTCTCTCGCACGTCGAAACGGACCACTTTCTATACATGGGACAACTTGAAAAAGAGAAATGGTTTTATGGTTGGCTTAAATTAGGGGGGTTCAATATATCAAATCGGTATAAGTTGTCAACGTTTATGTAGCCTACCGTATTTATCATGCTGCGTTTAGTGATGTCTAAATAATGTCCATCTCTTAAAAGGGGACACTTTTAACACAAATCATCGTCAATCTTGCCATACAATAAAAACGGACTGCTTACTTGGAAATGTAAATTACCACGAAATTGCTTAAATTATGTGACTAATCGGGTGACTTTATTATAATTGACTTTAATCTCCAATGGAGCCTTAATCCGTCATTTTTATTAATGGACGCTAGTGTTGACAAGAATTATCAAGGCAAGTTAACATACTAAGTGTCCAAATCAGATGAGATTTCATGTAAAAAATTACAATTTTTCAATTAAAAACACAAAAAAAAAATTAATTTAACGTCTGGGCCTAAGATTTTGAAAATCTGCTTTTTTGTAACAGAAAATCTCGAATGCTTAAGTAAACCCAATCCCCAAATACACCTCCATTTCAATTTGTAGAAAATTAAGTGCGATTAGGTCCCAATCTGTCAGTAAAGTTACGTGGATTCACATGCTTATCAATAATTTCATTGATAATTGAATTAATTAAGACACAAATTGATCAGAAAGCCTCAAACATGTTTAGTGTTGACTTAATTTCAATTTGTAGAAAATTAAGTGCGATTAGGCCCCAATTTTGTCACAATCTGTCAGTAGAGCTACGTGCGTTCACTTGCTAATTAATAATTTAATTGAGAATTAACTTAATTAAGACACAAATTGATCAGAAAACCTCAAACATGTTTAGTGTTGACTTAACTTCAATTTGTAGAAAATTAAGTGCGATTAGGCCCCAATTCTGTCACAATCTGTCAGTAGAGCTACGTGAATTCACATGCTAATCAATAATTTAATTGATAATTGAATTAATTAAGACACAAATTGATCGGAAAGCCTCAAACATGTTTAGTGTTGACTTAATTTCAATTTGTAGAAAATTAAGTGCGATTAGTCCCCAATTTTGTCACAATCTGTCAGTAGAGCTACGGGCATTCACTTGCTAATTAATAATTTCATTGAGAATTAACTTAAATTAAGACACAAATTGATCAAAAAGACTCAAACATGTTTAATGTTGACTTAATTTCAATTTGTGAATTAAGTGCGATTAGCCCCAATTTTGTCACAATCTGTCAGTAGAGCTACGTGAATTCACTTGCTAATCAATAATTTCATTGAGAATTAACTTAATTAAGACACAAATTGATCAGAAAGACTCAAACATGTTTAGTGTTGACTTAATTTCAATTTGTAGAAAATTAAGTGCGATTAGTCCCCAATTTTGTCACAATCTGTCAGTAGAGCTACGGGCATTCACTTGCTAATTAATAATTTCATTGAGAATTAACTTAAATTAAGACACAAATTGATCAAAAAGACTCAAACATGTTTAGTGTTGACTTAATATCAATTTGTAGAAAATTAAGTGCGATTAGTCCCCAATTTTGTCACAATCTGTCAGTAGAGCTACGTGAATTCACTTGCTAATCAATAATTTCATTGAGAATTAACTTAATTAAGACACAAATTGATCAGAAAGACTCAAACATGTTTAGTGTTGACTTAATTCAATTTGTAGAAAATTAAGTGCGATTAGGTCCCAATTTTGTCACAGTCTGTTGTAAAGCTACGGACATTCACTTGGTAATTCATAATTTCATTGAGAATTAACTTAATTAAGACACAAATTGATAAAAAGACTCAAACATGTTTAGTGTTGACTTAATTTCAATTTGTAGAAAATTAAGTGCGATTAGGCCCCAATTCTGTCACAATCTGTCAGTAGAGCTACGTGAATTCACATGCTAATCAATAATTTCATTGGGAATTAACTTAATTAAGACACAAATTGATCAGAAAGACTCAAACATGTTTAGTGTTGACTTAATTTCAATTTGTAGAAAATTAAGTGCGATTAGTCCTCAATTTTGTCACAATCTGTCAGTGCATTCACTTGCTAATCAATAATTTTATTGAGAATTAACTTAATTAAGACACCAATTGATCAGAAAGACTCAAACATGTTTAGTGTTGCCTTAATTTCAATTTGTAGAAAATAAAGTGCGATTAGTCCTCAATTTTGTCACAATCTGTCAGTAGAGCTACGCGCATTCACTTGATACTTCATAATTTCATTGAGAATTAACTTAATTAAGACACAAATTGACCAGAAAGCCTCAAACATGTTTAGTTTTGACTTAATTTCAATTGGTAGAAAATTAAGTGCGATTAGGCCCCAATTTTGCCACAATCTGTCAGTAGAGCTAATTGCATTCACTTGATAATTAATCATTTCATTGAGAATTAGCTTAATATGCTATCGGAAGTACCACCAGATGATCTGGGGGGTATTCCAACGAGTGATCCGAGACGTGGAACAGCCCCCCCCCCACATTTTCGGAATGAAAGATCTCCAGTGTTACTGTTACGAAGGGTCTAACCCGAAGATTCATCGACCTTTTCTTCTTTTCCTCCTGCGAATTACTCCCCGGTGAAATCTATTGTCCTTTTTTTTTAAGGTATTCCACCCCCCCCCCCCCAATATTAATGCCTCCGCCACATAATGACCATTTCCGAGAAAGGTTTATAAAATTATTCTTTCTAAGATCTTCGTATTCGCTAAATCTAAATTTGGCATTAGGGTGATATGGCCTCTACACATTCTGGGAGAGAGGATACCACCGGGGAATTGGGGAGGGGGGGGGCACGTTTGAGAAATGAAAGATCTCCGAAAATTACTATTAGTGTTCTAATCTAAACGGGAGATTCCTGGAATTTGTTCCATACCCCTCCTGGTACACCCTGGTGCTATAATCTCCCCCCAAATGATATAAACCTTCAGGACTCTTATGACCATTTATCAGGGAGAGTAGATAATCGATTTCTCTCTTCTGAAAATATTTCATAACTCCCTCCCCCTTTCCACTACTGCGATTCTCCCTCGAAAGTTGCCATTAAGGTGCTAGAGGCTCTAAACGCTTTTGAAGACCTAGCACCTGGGGCCTAGGGGTATGGAATACCTCCTCATTACAGAAACGAAAATGTTGCCTCTCTCACCCGACAATTACTACTAGTTCTCTGAATGCTCTCAATGGTATATTCATCGAATCTTTCTTACCTGTAATGTGTATCCCCACATTTTGGTTTAAAGAATCAGGAATGCGTCTGCGCTCCTGATAACAGTCCGAAAAATCCCGTACATCAAACCGAGTTGTAATTAATTAAAATGTGATCTGATTGTAACGTACATTTCGAGTCCTGATTCATTTGTGCGAAGATGTGTAGTATCAGGAGGCAATGTCTCTGGTATCAGGGGAGGGCGAAACCTGTTTCTTGCATGTTTATTTGTTCGCAATAATTATTTGTTTCTGGATGTGTTTTGGTCTAAAAAGAGGCGAGCGGTTACCGTTTTCCCACGAACTGATTGCTCTATGTACTCCTGATACAATCGAAAAGTTGTGAAAATCTGCTTTTTTACAACTGAAAACCTTGGATGCTTAAAGTAATAGGTAACCCAATCCCCAAACACCCCCCAGTAAAGGTAAAGTTTTCGATAACATCCCACCGGGGGTATAGAATACCCCCCACTATATGAAGAGTATTTTCTATGAGTAGGTATACGAATGGTATATTACGGTAATAATATAGTGATTGTAGGGAAATGGTCATCAAATTTTCCTTAACCGGGGGAGGGGGGGGGGGTTATATAATTCTCATAGGTGCAGTGTTTTTAACCCTTGATTTGTTTTTGGAAGTGTCAAAACTCCTTAGCGCCTTTTTTCCAGAGATACCTACGTGAGCTTGACTAGCATCATAAAGGGCATAGAAATAGGGGTCAGAAAGTTCTAGAAAAGAGGCGTAGAAAGAAAGCTCTTGGGAAACTGTCAATTCCCTAGGATTATTATAAGCCGCTTCCAGAGAGTTCATATATATATATGTTTTTTAAAAGGACCTCGAAAGATCTAGGTGTTCGGAAAGACCGAAGCCGAAAGGTTTAAGGGCCCCCAAAAATGGGTCATGCACGCCCACAACTTTTAAGATTTTCCCCGAAGGACGTGATATCACATCTGTAAACGCGCCTTTTGGGGACGTTTCCGGAAAACACTTCAGCATTTAAGTAATGTCCACATACTCAAAAATCAAAACCTTTATTAAACCCCCAAATGTTGGGGACATTTTTGAAGTTATGAGGGTCAGACATATGTCATGTTTTAATTTGGGATACTCATAAAGATCTCGGAAAATTTCCGAAAATCCTCTCCAAAATCAATTCAAAAACTGTAAACACATAAAGATGTCAAAAAGCGATTTCGTATCTGACGGTGAAGAATATAACAAATTAGATTGTCCCAAAATACAGTTGCCTACGTCAGTAAACATTTGCAATAATCCGATGCGGAAATGAGACGATTACCTTTCACTTGGCCAAATAATTTCTGTAGCCCCTACGGAACAAATCGCCTTTGAGAAAAATTCAATTGACATTCCCCTACACAATTACACTCGAAATCGAGCAAGCCATCAGAGGAGAAGGAAAGAAGGCGCGACGCACGTCATTGGTGAAGCGCCCGCCAATCAGACGCGCGCGCGGTTCCCGCATTAGGGCACTACACCCTTTCTTTTCCAACCCCTATAATTACCCAATTTCACTTAATGACCAGTTCGGTTGACCTCCCGCCCGGATGAAGGGTTGCTATATACAAAAAAAATCGCGTGGCGCGAAACGACTCCCGCGCCGCGCACACATAGGCGTAGAAAGTGGGCGGGTTACAGGCGCGGGGGCGGAGGTGGCCCGAGAAGGTGGCCGAAAATTGGATTAGTCTTAGAGATTGTGCGGAGAAGTTCGCGCGCCCGTTTCGAAATTTTTCACTTCGCGCGCGCGATTGACATGGGCCGGCGCGTTTGAAGGCGAGTGAATTGGTATCAGTGTTTTGTGCTTCCAGTTTCGAAATGACTGTAACCGGAAATCTAGGAATTATGCACAGACCATGTTTTTCAGGATATCCGTTTCAAGGTGAGCACGCGAGTTAAGGGTAATTAAGAAGCGATTAAGGCACTACCCCCCCCCCCCCTCCCCTATGAATTTTGATTTATGTGAGAAACGGTCTCATTGATTAATTTCATAGACTTTGAACAACAAAGAAAAGAAACTTAATTAATTTGCTTATTGAATCTATCCAAACATTGATTAACTTTAATTGAATTAGTATTCAACTTAGCCAATTAATTATAAATTGGTTTGTCGTTTGTAATTGTTTCAATTTTTCAACAATGAATTTGTAGATTTTTTAAAAGCTTTTTGTGTTCAACACGTACCTACACACATTTTTGGCGCAGCTCTATCGACAAATTCTGGCAAATTTGTAGCCTAATCTCACTTAATTTTCGAAAGATTGAAATTAAGACAGCTTTAAATATGATTTAGTGTTATCAATCAGAGTTTGTGCCTTAATTATTTAAGTTAATTTCAAATGAAATAATTAATTAGCAAACGAATTCACGCAGTGTGGCAAATTTAGAGCCTAATCGCACTTAATTTTCTACAAAATGAAATTAAGACAGCACTAAACATGCTGTAGTGTTATCAGTCAGAATTTGTGCCTTAATTATTTAAATTAATTTGCAATGAAGTAATCAATTAAGCTAATGTGCAATGAAATAATTAATTAGCAAACGAATTCGCTCAGAGAGTGGCTAATTTGTGGCCTTATCGCACTTTATTTTCAACAAATTGAAATTATGACAGCACTAAACATGTGTCTGCCTTAACTATTTAATTTGCAATCAAGTAATTAATTAGCAAACGAATTCATACAGAATGCGGCTGATTTGTTAGCCCAATCGCAGTGAATTTTGTACACATTAACACATTGAAATTAAGACAGCAATAAACAAACATGTTTTAGTGTTCAATCAGAGTTTGCGCCTTAATTATTTAAATTAATTTTCAATGAAGTAATTAATTAGCAAACGAATTCATGCAGAGAGTGGCTAATTTGTTGCCTTATCGCACTCGATTTTCTACCAATTGCAATTAAGAGCACTAAACATGTTTCAGTGTTCTCAATCAGAGTTTCTGCCTTAATTATTTAAGTTAATTTGCAATGAAATAATTAATTAGCAAACGAATTCACGCAGAGTGTGGCAAATATATAGCCTAATCGCACTTAATTTTCTGCAAATTGAAATTAAGACAGCACTAAACATGTTTTAATGTTATCAATTAGAGTTTGCGGCTTAATTCTTTAAATTAATTGTCAATGAAATAATTAATTAACAAACGAATTCACGTAGTGTGGCTAATTTGTAGCCTTATCGCACTCGATTTTCTACCAATTGCAATTAAGAGCACTAAACATGTTTTAGTGTTCTCAGTCAGAGTTGCTGCCTTAATTATTTAAGTTAATTTGCAATAAAATAATTAACTAGCAAACTCATTCACGCAGATTCTAGCAAATTTGTAGCCTACTCGCACTTACATGTCTACAAATTGAAATTAAGACAGCACTAAACATGCTGCATTGTTATCAGTGAGAGTTTGTGCCTTAATTATTTAAATTAATTTGCAATGAAGTAATCAATTAGCAAACGAATTCATGCAGAGTGTGACAAATTTGTAGCCTAATCGCACTTAATTTTTTACACATTGAAATTAAGACAGCACTAAACATGTTTTAGTTTTTAGTTTTAGTGTTCAATCAGAGTTTGCGCCTTAATTATTTAAATTTATTTCAATGAAGTAATTAATTAGCAAACGAATTCATGCAGAGAGTGGCTAATTTGTTGCCTTATCGCACTCGATTTTCTACCAATTGCAATTAAGAACACTAAACATGTTTCAGTGTTCTCAATCAGAGTTTCTGCCTTAATTATTTAAGTTAATTTGCAATGAAATAATTAATTAGCAAACGCATTCACGCAGAGTCTAGCAAAATTTGTAGCCTAATATCGCACTTACATGTCTACAAATTGAAATTAAGGCAGCACTAAACATGTTGTAGTGTTATCAGTCAGAGTTTGTGCCTTAATTATTTAAATTAATTTGCAATGAAGTAATCAATTAAGCTAACTTGCAATGAAATAATTATTTAGCAAACGAATTCGCTCAGAGTGTGGCTAATTTGTGGCCTTATCGCACTTTATTTTCTACAAATTGAAATTAAGACAGCACTAAACACGATTTAGTGTTAGGTATCAATCAGAGTTTGTACGTTCATTATTTAAGTTAATTTGCAATAAAATAATTAATTAGTAAACTCATTCACGCAGAGTCTAGCAAATTTGTAGCCTAATCAATCAGAGTTTGTACATTATTTAAGTTAATTTGCAATAAAATAATTAATTAGTAAACTCATTCACGCAGAGTCTAGCAAATTTGTAGCCTAATCGCACTTACATGTCGACAAATGAAACGAAGACAGCACTAAACATGCTGTAGTGTTATCAGTCAGAATTTGTGCCTTAATTATTTAAATTAATTTGCAATGAAGTAATCAATTAAGCTAATGTGCAATGAAATAATTAATTAGCAAACGAATTCGCTGAGAGTGTGGCTAATTTGTGGCCTTATCGCACTTTATTTTCAACAAATTGAAATTATGACAGCACTAAACATGTTTCTGCCTTAACTATTTAAGTTAATTTGCAATCAAGTAATTAATTAGCAAACGAATTCATACAGAATGCGGCTGATTTGTATACCCCAATCGCAGTGAATTTTGTACACATTAACACATTGAAATTAAGACAGCACTAAACAAACATGTTTTAGTGTTCAATCAGAGTTTGCGCCTTAATTATTTAAATTAATTTGAAATGAAATAATTAACTAGCAAACGAATTCACGCAGTGTGGCAAATTTGGAGCCTAATCGCACTTAATTTTCTACAAATTGAAATTAAGACAACACTAAACATGTTGTAGTGTTATCAGTCAGAGTTTGTGCCTTAATTATTTAAATTAATTTGCAATGAAATAATTAATTAGCAAACGAATCCGCTCAGAGTGTGGCTAATTTGTGGCCTTATCGCACTTTATTTTGTACAAATTGAAATGAACTTAGGACTAAACACGATTTAGTGTTATCAATCAGAGTTTGTGCCTTAATTATTTCAGTTAATTTGCAATGAAATAATTAATTAGAAAACGAATTCACACAGAGTGTGGCTAATTTGTAACCTAATCGCACTTAATTTTCTACAAATTAGAATTAGAACAGCACTTAACGTGTTTTAGTGCTATCAATCAGAGTGTCTGTCTTAATTATTTAAGTTAACTTGCAGTGAAATAATTAATTAGCAAACGGATTCGCAAAGAGTGTGGCTAATTTGTGGCCTTATCGCACTTACTTTTCTGCAAAATGAAATTAAGGCAGCATAAACATGCTGCAGTGTTATCAATCAGAGTATGTGCCTTAATTATTTAAGTTAATTTGCAATGAAATAGTTATTTAGCAAAAAAATTCACAGAGTGAGGCTAATTTGTAACCTAATCGCACTTAATTTTCTACAATAAATTAAGACAGCACTAAACATGTTTTAATGTTATCAATCAGAGTTTCTGCCTTATTATTTAAGTTAATTTGCAATGAAATAATTAATCAGAAAATGAATTCACGCAGTGTGGCAAATTTGTAGCCTTATCGCAATTAATTTTCTACAACTTGAAATTAAGACAGCACTAAACGTGTATTAGTGGTATCATTCAGAGTTTGTGCACTAATTATTTAGGTTAATTTCCAATGAAATAATTAATTAGCAAACGAATCCGCTCAGAGTGTGGCTAATTTGTGGCCTTATCGCACTTTATTTTGTACAAATTGAAATGAACTTAGGACTAAACACGATTTAGTGTTATCAATCAGAGTTTGTGCCTTAATTATTTCAGTTAATTTGCAATGAAATAATTAATTAGAAAACGAATTCACACAGAGTGTGGCTAATTTGTAACCTAATCGCACTTAATTTTCTACAAATTAGAATTAGAACAGCACTTAACGTGTTTTAGCGCTCTCAGTCAGAGTTTCTGCCTTAACTATTGGAGTTAATTACCTATAAAATAATTAATTGGCAAACGAATTCACGCAATCCGGCAAATTTGTAACCTAACCGCACTTAAATTTCTACAAATTGAAATTAACACAGCACTAAACGTGTTTTAGTGCTATCAATCAGAGTGTCTGCCTTAATTATTTAAGTTAACTTGCAATGAAATAATTAATTAGCAAACGGATTCGCGAAGAGTGTGGCTAATTTGTGGCCTTATTGCACTTCTTTTATACAAATTGAAATTATGACAGCACTAAACATGTTTCTGCCTTAACTATTTATGTTAATTTGCAATGCAATAATTAATTAGCAAACGAATTCACGCAGAGGGTGGCAAATAGGTAGCCTAATCGCACTTAATTTTCTACAAATTGAAATTAAGACAGCACTAAACACGATTTAGTGTTAGGTATCAATCAGAATTTGTGCGTTCATTATTTAAGTTAATTTGCAATTACATTAATTAGCAAACAAATTCGTGCAGAGTGTGACAAATTTGTAGCCTAATCGCACTTAATTTTTTACACATTGAAATTAAGACAGCACTTAACATGTTTTAGTGTTCAATCAGAGTTTGCGCCTTAATTATTTAACTTAATTTTCAATGAAATAATTAATTAGAAAACGAATTCATGCAGAGTCTAGCAAATTTGTAGCCTAATATCGCACTTACATGTCTACAAATTGAAATTAAGACAGTACTAAACATGTTGTAGTGTTATCAGTCAGAGTTTGTGTCTTAATTATTTAAATTAATTTGCAATGACATAATCAATTAAACTAACTTGCAATGAAATAATTATTTAGAAAACGAATTCACTCAGAGTGTGGCTAATTTGTGGCCTTATCGCACTTTATTTTCTACAAATTGAAATTATAACAGCACTAAACATGTTTCTACCTTAAATATTTATGTTAATTTGCAATGCAATAATTAATTAGCAAACGAATTCACGCAGAGGGTGGC